TTTTTATAGTCATACCACTAGTAAGGTGAATTTGTCTGTGTTATAAAATAGATTATAAACACATTATTATTACAACTAAAGCTTCACACTGTAAATAAACTTGGTGACTAGGTGGCATATTGTTAATGAACATCATTATTGCATGATTATTAATTAATTAATCCATAACATTTATTAATACAAAAACAAAATTTAGTTATTTGATGATGCATAATTGATTGGGTCAATTTGGTTCATCCATTATATCATCATCAGGATCATCTAATTTTGATCCACTAGTGCATACCCGACATTTACAACAAACTATACATGGAGCAGCTAGTAATAACAATGGACTAGCAACAAGTAGTAGTATACCAAATCCGGCAAATATWCCAATCACTTGGGTACGATGCCATATCACGGAAGCTCTCGAATGACCTAATTTGTTTTTACACGGACCTTTGTCATAATGTCTTAAAAGGAAATCATCCTGAAATTTAAAAATGTAATAATTGAATTGTTGAAATAAAAATAGTGCATATTGTAAATAATTACTAAACTTACATCTAAAGAAGCAAGGCAATACCAACAAAAGACATGTTTACATCTTTTACATAACATTTGAGCACAGCCTTCGTCCTTTTCAATGGGTACACTACACATGGGACAACATTTAATTAAATCTGAATCGAATGTAGGCATGTCATGTGTAGTTGGAGGTGGACATGGTTTTCCAGGATGCCATGTTGCTCGACATCCAGAACAAAATTCGGTTTGACAGGTAGGACATATTACACTATGTGGTCGAGAACGATCACCAACATCACAAACAGTTTCACATCCTGGTTTTGGACACCACATACGACTTTTATCTAATTCCACTTCTGTTAAAAAAAAAATATAAAAACAATAGTTAAAATTTAAAATAAGACATTGAAAGAAAAAAATTAGCACATTTAATTTTACTCAAGTTATTTAACTAATGAGCAGATAAATTTTTAAATGAACCTATTTTACAATCAAATATAATATACTATTATTAGGGGCGGAGTGGCCTGCCGGGCAACCGGGACAATGCCCGGTGGCCTGGCTTGCTTATATTAGAAGTGGCCTGGTCCTGGTGTGAT